AACTATGACTTATGACCATAATTCTGGGTTCAATTATGGCTGTAAGTCGAGTACTACCTATATTCCAGCAATATTCAAGCCATATTCTTATTGCATTTTATATAATGTACTAGTATGTTCAGGACTAAGATCAAATACAGACCAAACTAATGGAAACAGGTTCAGCAACCAACCTTACAGTTTACAATAAAGCTAATTAAATGGTGGATCAATTATCAATGGTAAAGGAACCAGCAGTCAAAAAATACACCACTGAGAAAGCAGTCATGGTAGAGCAACCATGAAGGTCTTAGAAAAGATATTCAGATGCTGTGATATGTGTATACCTACAAAGTTCAGAATTACATAAGCTGTAGTATTCCTGTGACACTATGGAAATAAAATTGGAGTTCTGTGAAGCATGTTACAAAAAGTATTGATGTTTATGAACTTTGGTGCTGAAGAAGGCTCCTGAGAATACCATGGAAAGCCAAGGAAACAAACAAATGGTTCATTAAAAATAGTTCTTACTCAAGACACAAATTACTAGACTCAAATTATCATGCTTTGGACACATGTGAAGACTTACTTCTCTGGAGAAGGTTCTAATACTGAGAAAGATGGGTGGAAAGAGACAAGGATAACCAGTACAGGTAGTTCTCAACATACAACCACAATTGAGCACAAAATTTATGTTAAGTGAGTTTTGCCCCATTTTACGATATCTGGTCAGCTTGTGCCAACATTATTTGACCATTTGGCACATCAGGCAATATATCCAAGTCCTGCACAGGAGATAAAAAGTTTCTGTGATCCATGCAGTACTTTGAGCCCAATAAGATTCTTATCCTTTAAGACAGAGTTCCTCAAACTTTCCAGCTTTGTGGATCGGCTGGGGTGGAGGTGGTGATGGTCAGAAGGACCCATCTATGACTGAGGCACAAATTGTACCTTTTCCAGGTAGTACTATGCAGTCCTCTGTGCCTTGTCATTCCTCAATTGTATTACAGTAATTTACTTTATGCAGGGATGCCCTTGAAGACCACCATCTGCAACTTCAGAACATGTCTGCTTGTTCAAAAGTGGATCAGACCACCGCTGCCATATCACACTGCTATTATTATCGTTGCACAGGCATTAGGCTACCATTCCAATTCTTTGCAATTCAATATTGCAATTCAAGGTACTGACTATTTGCTATAAAAATGTATGACAATGTAGGGCCTTGGTATCAACAAGAGCACCCATTCTAATATTGCCAGCCTCAGGGCCCCTTCAGTCAGGCCATCCACACCCTAACACCTGCCTCATGGCAGCAACACCAGCAACCATGTGCAGCAGGAGCCCACATGGCCGCTGGCCCACTTCTGCTTGCTTGCGGCCGCAATGGAGCAGGAGGCCGAAAAGTGTGTTGGTGCCACGGCTGTGAACCAAGGCAGGTGTTGGGGCATGGATGGCCTGGCTGCGGGGGCCCTGAGGTAAGCCGGTGCGGGGCACATGGGACAGCTCCACACACATACCCGCCTCACCTTGTGGCCGCAGTACCAGCACGTCACTCGGCCTCTTGCTCTGTTGTGGCTGCAAGCAAGCAGAAGAATTGGGCCAGCAGCTACGTGGGCTCCTGCTGGACAAGGCTGCCAGAGCTGCCACTGCAAGGCGAGGCAGGTTTCGGGGCGTGGGTGGCTTGGCTGCAGGGGCCCTGAGGTAAGCCGGTGCAGGGTGCATAGGGCATCTCCACCCCCCACCCCGCCTCACCGCAGCAGCACTGACACACTGTGCAGCCTCCTGCCCCACTGTTGAGGTATTCCCCATTAGGAGAATGAGTGCACTCAGGGAAACATAGTGAGAGTGGTGAGGAATAACACGCAACCAGCATACAGATACACTGAATAGTAAAATGTAGGTTTTACTTCCTGTAAACAGGTAAACAAAGTCCAACAAACAGTCCAAATCATACACGGTTAAAGCAGGTAGTATTCAATACAATCAGTCCAGGGATAATCCAAAAACGAAGTCCAGTATCATAAAGAAAGTTCAGTAAACGGAGTTTGCGAACAGTTGCAAGACTCACAGCAATCCAAGCAGAACGACGATCAGGGAAAAGGCAAGGCAATAGAGAAATGCAAGAAGTGAATAAACCAGGTTTCTAGCTCCATCTTATGGCCATTGGAGGAACCTCAGCCAATCACAATTACAGCATTCTCTTAAAGATACAACAGTATTAAATGACTATCCTGGTTTATATATTGCCAACCCAACTGTTAGGTGACTATCATTCCTAACACCCACTGTGAGCAAGCAGAAGAAGTGAACCTCCCGTACATGGGAAAAAAATTAAGACACCCTCTGAAAACCCTCTGGTGCTTATTTTGGGGGCCAAAAGAAAATAAGACCCAGTCTTATTTTCAGGAAAACACGGGTATGCCTTGGGCAGAGGTCTCAAACTTGACAGCTTTAAGACTTGTGGACTTCAATTCCCAGAATTCCTCCTCCAGTCATGTTAGCTCAGGAATTCTGGGAGTTGAAGCCCACAAGCCTTAAACTTGCCAAGTTTGAAGACCCTTGGCCTAGGGCATCACAATGTCTAGAGCTGGGCCTGATGATGGACTACAGGCTCTTGCATCTTTATGTAAGGTAGAGTTTTTCAAACCTGGCAACTTTAAGATGTGTGATCTTCAACTCCCAGAATTCCCAAGCCGCCTGTCTTAAAGTTGCCAAGTTTGAAAAATACTGATCCAGGAGATGATTATTGTAATCAGTTGGTCTCAGTGGGACTTGTGACTCTTCGTATATAGGACTCATTGTTAGATGAAGAGCAAATAATCTTTATGGTCTTATTTGAACAACATGCTTAATTGAATAAAGAGTGAGACTTCATGTAAACATGAAAAACAAACTGTATTCCTTCCTTAGTTAAAGGAAGAAAAAGGAATGTAATTGATATGTAAATATGAGTATTATTGATGCTGGAGTGCTGCAAAGATTTTAAAAGTGATATAAAATTATGAAATACGTTTAATAAAAATATTTAATAAAAAAGAAAAAAAGAAAAACAAACTGTATTGGAGCAGAAAAGGATACATTTTAACCCAAAACAATGCTGGGCTTATTTCATCTTAAATTATCCTATCCTGATGAAGCAAGCCAATAAACTTTTATAATTAAGTAGGAATTTGAATTTGGTCTGGTTTTTTCCCCCCCAAGTCCCACAAAAAAAATGTCATTTTACTACATATTTCCCAGCTTCACATTGTTCCCATTGAATTACATATAAAAATGGTGGGGCCTCAATTGCACAGCCATAGCCACTATCTTGACTTTTTATACACATAAATACATACATGCACGCACATGCACACGCACATGCACACGCATACAGATGCCTTTGCCCTATTTGGTTTGCTGTTCCTCCTCTAATGTAAGTACAGGTAGTCCTTGACTTAGAACAGTTCATTTAGTGACTGTTCGAAGTTCCAATGGTACTGAAAAAAGGTACTTATGACCATTTTTCATGGATGACCATTACAGCATTCCCCATGGTCACATGATCAAAATTCAGACCTTTGGCAACTGGCTCATATCTATGAGGGTTGCAGTGTCCTGGGGACATGTGATCCAATGGTGAGCTTCAAATTTTTTAACAATCGGTTCTCTGCCCTAATGACCAGCTGGGTAGGTGTGGCTGGGTGATCATGTGACTGAGTGGGCGTGGCCAACATGATGTCACATCGAGGGGCACTTTGCCTCGCCCGCCCTCTCAAGACCATGGAGATGCTTCAATGGTCGTAAGTGTGAAAAACAGTCATAAGTCATTTTTTTCAGTGCCATTATAACTTTGAATGGTCAATATTTGATGGTAAATATTCATCTTATGAACACAGGATGATTCATGTGTTCATCTCTTGCACAGAACGCTTGGCCATGCCAGCTTCCGAGTTTTGCAAAGGATGGACCAATTTGCAGAAGGGTTGAATTTAAAGGGATGTAAGGCATATTTGTATTGGATTGTGCAGTATGCAAAACATCAAAGTCCAAGACATTCCCAGGCAGACAACATGATCTCTAGAGCTGGTACATGCAGATTTGGTTGGGCCAATGCAAGCCAGTTTGGGAGGAGCAAAGTATGCACTGGTCATTGTAGATGACTATAACAGGTTTGGGTTCTTTTATTTACTAAACAGTAAAACAGAAGTGCTACAGACATTTAAGCAATGGGTAAGCTTTGTAGAAAGAAGGTATAAACAACAGATGTGTCAGCTGCAAACTGACAAGAAGTTCAGAATTCATGTCAACAAGTTTTCAACAGTGGTTGGGACAGTTAAGAATAAAACACAAACACACAAATCCTTACACAGCAGCTGACAGTGGTGTTGCTGAGAGACGGAATGGAATCTTACAAACCATGAAGGACTCACTGCTAGAGGATTCTGGTCTGAGCAGGTCATATTGGGGTGAAGCCATGTTGACTGCTAATTATTTAATTAATAGGTTGTGGAGTTCCCCCATTAAAGATACTCCAGTGCTATATGGAAGAAAAACATCTCTGACGCGTTTAAGGGTTTTTGGAAGCAATGCGTGGGTGCATATTCCAAAAGCAATTAGAAGAAAGGGACAACCAAAGGCTAGAAAGCTCAGGTTTATGGGCTATGAGCCAGGCTCAAAGAGTTATCGCTTTAGCAATGGGAGCAAGAGAATATTGATTTCAAGGTCTGCAAACTTTGCAGAGCAAAATTGGAACAGAATTGATGCAAATTTGTGGAATGATTAGCTTAGTTATGGTAATCCACCTAGTGACAGCAACTCACTTAGTGACAGTAACTCATTTAGTGATGGTGTCAGCGTTCAGGGAGGAGAAGCCAAAAAAGATATGAAGCAAGAGAGGGATGCAGCACAGGAGCAGTCAATGCCATGCAGGTCAGAGCAATGGAACAAAAGGATTCCACCTGACAGGTATTCTGCTAGTAAAGTGTGTAATGTATGGTATGAGCCAAGGAACTATAAGGAAGTTTTGGCATTACGTAAAATTGAACAAGTAAAGTGGAAAGAAGCCATGGACAAGGAAATGAAATCCAAGGGGGAACATGAAGTGTACACATCTATGACTTTGCTACAGGGTAGCAAAGCTGTTGGATGCAAGTGGGTGTTATGTCTCACCTTCACAAGATAGATGAGAAGTCCAAATTCCGACCAAATACAAGCAGGCAAGAAGATTCAGTATTTACAGAGTTAGTTCCTTTGAGCTGGCTAGCCAACAACTCTTTTTCCCAGATGGAGTAATTGCGCTCGGAAGGAGTGAGTTTCCGGGAATAGTAAGCGCAGGGAAAAAGAGTTGCGCTATCCGCCGGGGCTTGCAACAACACAGCCCCAATAGCCAAGTTGGACGCATCCGTCTCCACCACAAAAGGACGATGCGGATCAGGATGCCTCAGGACAGGTTCTGCGATGAAGGCCTTCTTGAGGGCCTCAAAAGCCTGTTGCTGCAGGGGCCCCCACTGGACTGGGACCTTCTTTCGAAGGAGCTGGGTTATTGGACCCGTCAGCTTGGCAAAACCCGGGATGAAGGTCCGGTAATAATTAGCGAACCCCAAGAGGTGTTGAACATCCTTCACGCAACGAGGGGGTTCCCAACTACACAAGGCCTCCTCTTTACGCGGGTCCATGGCGATGCCTTCGGGAGAGATGATGTGCCCCAGGAACTCTATGGAAGTCTTGAAGAAGAGGCATTTCTCCAGCTTCGCATAGAGTTGATGCTCTCGAAGACGTTGCAATACCAGACGAACGTGTTGAAGGTGGCTGTCCCTGGACCTGGAATAAATCAAAATATTGTCCAGATACACCACCACAAACCGATCTAACATGTCCCGAAACATGTCGTTCATCAGGTGCTGGAAGACCGTGGGAGCATTGGTCAACCCAAACGGCATCACAGTGTACTCAAAATGACCATATTGGGTGCCAAATGCCGTCTTCCATTCGTCCCCCTCTTGCATCCGCACCAGGTTGTAGGCCCCTCGAAGATTGAGCTTGGTGAAAACAGTGTCCTCCCGCAACCTCTCCAACAACTCCGGGATGAGCGGCAAGGGGTAGCTACTCCGCACCGTGATGACGTTCAACCGGCGGTAATCGCAACACAAACGTAAGTCTCCCGTCTTCTTCTTGATGAAAAGAACGGGAGCTGAGAGAGGGGATGTCGACGGACGGATGAACCCTCGGGCCAAGTTCTTGTCCAAAAAGTCACGTAGGGCGGCCAGCTCGGGCTCGGACATGGAATACAGACGTCCCTTGGGCAGCGGTACATCGGGCAGAAGGTCCACCGGGCAATCATAGGGCCGATGCGGGGGTAACCGGTCCGCCTCCTTCTCACTAAACACATCCGAGAAGTCCAACAGTTCAGGAGGTATGGAGACGGCAGAGGTGGTGATGTCCTGGCCAGCACAGGTGCAGTTTAAATGGTCCACGCACTGCAAACTAGGAAAAGAAATGGCGTTCTGCGACCATGCCACCTGAGGATCATGAGTCTGAAGCCAGGCCATGCCGAGGACTAATGGGAGATGGAGGTCCGCGGTGACATAAAAGCGGATCACCTCCTCATGGTCTCCAATGACCAGGCGCAAAGGCTGGGTAGCGAATTGAATGGGTCCAGCAAGAAGTTCCCTCCCATCAATAGTCTCGACCCTCATTGGAGGGTCTACCCGAACCAAGGGGACATCAAAATGAGCCGCAAAGGCCTGGTACATAAAGTTAGTTGTGGTCCCCGAGTCCACCAGCGCAATCGCGGGAATCCCTTTCGACTGGGCTGCCCAGAAAACCCGAGTGTCCAGAAGTAGATGCCGAGGGGGCCCAGAGTCAACCTCCACTACTTCAGGCGGGTGTTTGATACATGCCCGGCCTAGGGTTTCCCCAAGGTCGGGCCAGCCTTGTTTCCCCGACTGATCAGGCCGAGATTCCGGTACAGGCGTGAATGCCCCCCTTCGCTTAATAGGACAAGAAATACCAAAATGTCCTGGCCCCCCCACAATACAAACACAAACCTCCTTGAAGTCTCCGTGTTCGCTCTTGGTCCGTCAGGCGAAGTCTGACCACTCCCAACTCCATTGGCTCCTCGGCTATTGCCACGACACGTTGGGTGACTCGGGGCGCTGGTTGCACAGGGCGCTGTGGCAGATATGTGGATGGCTGCTCCTGGACGGGGCGTCGAGTCTTGCGCCGTTGAAGGCGGGCGTCAATGCGCAAGCATTGCACCACCAGAGCGTCGAGGGTCGGGGCTGGTTCCACTTGAACCAACTCATCCTGCAGCTCATCGGACAGGCCATCCTGAAAAGCGTCCATCAAGGCAGCATCGTTCCAATTGGAATCCAGACAGATCAGCCGAAATTCCAAAATGAACTCCTGCAGGGGGCGCTTCCCTTGGCGAAGTTCCTTCAGACGTCTGGCTGCCGTCTGCACCCGTATGGGGTCCTCATACATTTGGCGCATATGTTGCCAAAACCCCTGATAATCCGTTAACAACGGGCTGTTCTGCAGTAATAAAGGAGTGGCCCATCTGGCAGCCGAGCTCGAAAGGAGGCTTATTACAAACCCCACCCGAGCCCGGTCATCTGGAAAATCCTCCAGCCTCAGAGCCATAAACAATTGGCACTGTCCCATGAAAGCCGGGAACATCTCAGGCTGCCCAGAAAACTTATCCGGCACAGCCACTGGGCATTTCCGATGGGGAGAGGCAGGAGGAGCAGCATGAGCCTGCAGCAGAGCAAGTTGATTAGTTAGCTGGGCCACCTGCTGTTGCAAAGCCTGGTTTTCATTCTGCAGCTGCTGGTGAAATTGCTGCTGCTGCTGCTGCTGTTGCTGCTGTTGATCCATCTTGGTCAAAAGATGGTTTACGTGTGAGGTGCGGGACAAAAATGTTATGTCTCACCTTCACAAGATGGATGAGAAATCCAAATTCCGACCAAATACAAGCAGGCAAGAAGATTCAGTATTTACAGAGTTAATTCCTTTGAGCTGGCTATGTTCTTGGCAGTATCACACACGCTGCCTGCCAAGTCCGACAAGATAACAGAATCATAAATCACTAAAGCTTTCCAGAAACAGGATACACCGAAGCTCCACAGAAAAATTCACACTTTGTCCCGCACAGAGTTCCTAGAGCAAACACACCCAACAGCTCAGTCTCTGATTCGTCCACGTCTCCTGCGTTGCATCTCACACTTTTTCCTGCGATGTTGCCTAGCATCAAGCCAGCATTCGTCTGCTTGATTCTCTGTCAAAGGCTGCTCCAATATGCCCTCCTCCTCCTGATTAGCCTCAGGCTGTCCCTCTCGGTTATCTGCCGAAACCTGAGGCATAATCAGGGAGGAAGGCATTGCCGGAGAGGAAGGTCCTGGGGAGGAAGGCATTCCCAATTCCACCTCCTCCTCATCTTCCGAATCCTTTTCCTCTAAGAATGCAGACTCAGGACTCGGAGCCACAACAAGTGGGTATACAAGAAGAAAGTACTGCCCAATAATGAGGTACAATATAAAGCAAGGTTAGTGGCACAAGGGTTTTCACAGATGAAAAATGTGCACTATGATGAGGTATTCGCGCCAACTGTAAAGAGTGAAAGCATCAGGCTGGCACTAACGTTGGCAGTGGCACATGGCCATAAAATTTGGCATTTTGACATAACCACTGCATTTCTCAATGCAGAATTAGAGGAAGAAATGTACATGGTTCAAACACCAGGGTATGAAAGTAAAAAGCCTAATCTATATATATAAAAGCGAAAAAGCACTCATGTGTCATCACAAAATCTCCAGAACTGTAAAGCCTACAAACTTGAAATTTGGCACTTATGTTCCTCTTGGCTTCTTGGTGCTCACTAAGGAAGGATTTTTCAAAATGACCATCAGAGCATTAGTATTTCCTATATTATTGTTAACATGTTCTGATGCTAAGGAGTTCTACTACTCCTCCCCATCTGAAAAGAAATCTCTTCAAACTGCAGTTGAGCTAAGCCATGCCCAGGCTCCTTTCTGTCTCCTTCTTGCTCACACAGAAAATACTGTTTCGCTTTCCAAACAGCCCTGAACTGTCTCACACACTGACAGGACACTAGCCAGATGAATACCGATGGATGCTGGTAGGCAGAGGCACAATTTCCCCGCCTTATTTTCCTCCCAAAAAACTTGCCCGATCACATAGTTTCGCAGTGAAGCAAGGGTACCCTGCTAGTTATTCATAGTATGCTTTCACTTCAATGGAAAGTCCTTCCTGTTTCTCCCATTAGATTCCCCCACTCCCCCCTATTTTAGTCAGAAAGATAAAACATAACTGTCACAAATTACCTTGAGGAGCAGAAAACTTCACCCTTCTTTATCCTGTTTGTTAAAACCCGCATGCCAGTCTTACAACTCAACATGTGCTGCTTTCCCATTACAGTACTGTGTTAATTTTTTTTAGATAAGGGTAGCCAACCTCAGCAACTTTAAGACTTGTGGACTTCAACTCCCATGCTGGCTGGTGAATTCTGGGAGTTGAAGTCCACAAGTCTTAAAGTTGCCGAGGTTGGACACAGCTGTTTTAGAAAAAAGAAGGAAAAAAAGCTTCACCACTTTAATTGTTGCCTATAATGCGAGGGAGTAGCCTGATCTACAAGGTGGTCAATTTTCTTTCTCGCTCTCTCCCTCTCCCTCCCTCCCCTCTCTCTTGGGCCCTAATGGACTCTAGCTTTGAGGTGACGGAAGCTCAGGATGGCCCCCACCCTGGCCAACTCTCAAGTGACTTATGACCATTTTTCACACTTACAACCCCTGTAGCATCCCCATAGTCATGAAATCAAAATTCAGATCCTTGGCAACTGGTTCATATTTATGATGGTTGCAATATCCAGATCACCTTGGTTATCATTTGAGAGCTGAATGCAATGAAATTTCATTTTAATGTATGATTAGTGTACATTTAAAGTGACAAAGTTTCTATTCCTACTCTATTATTCTATTCTATTCACCTTTTGCGACCTTCTGACAAGTAAAGTCAATGGGGAAGCCAGATTCACTTCACAACTTTGTTACTAAATTAACAACTGCAGCTATTCATTTAACAACTGCAGCAATTCACTTAATGGTGACAAGAAAGGTCGTAAAATGGGGCAAAACTCAGTTAACAAATGACTCACTTAACAACAGAAATGTTTTCAATTGTGGTTGTAAGTTGAGGACCACCCATAATGTAAGTTAACTGTCAGCCAACTTGTTGCTTGCTGCCTTAGAATAGGGGGAGGGAACTGTGGAGACAATTACATTGCAACTTTGCAACTGCAGTTATCTCCAAGGCCAGATCCGTTGGCTCTGGTATGCGGTGGCCTCTGCTTACCTAGCTAAAAGGGGGTTGGGCTGTATACTGTGTTTGAAAGTGCTGTGTTTGCACCTTTTTGCCTCAGAGCTTGCTTGAAACTGTCTGCTTTCAGTTTGTTCCTAGTAAATCCTTTTTTGCAGTTCTGCATAGTTCGTAGCAAAAGTACAGATTTTGCAGTTCTGTGCAGACCACTTCGTGTCAACTAAAAAGATACTCCTTTGGTCTTTTTAGCTGCCAGAAAAAGGGAGTGGGAGAAAACAAGGCATTCCTTAAATGCCTACATAATCAGCCCCGGCAGCCCAAAGTTGTCGGAGCGTAAGAAGGTTATTGGAGAGCATGATGGATGACTCTTGGAGATGGATGTGTCCCATTGGAGAATATACATCCATGGGGTGGGGGGGAAGACCAGGGCAAGGGGGAAATGTATGATGTAATTTAGTATTGGCTGCACCCAGCTAAACGTCAACATGGCCACTTCTAATAAATCAATTTTCTTTTCTCTGAGATGCGGCTAGAGATTTTTTATTTGAATGGGGGTGGATTTGTTGGCGCCCTGACACTTCGCTTGTTTCATGCACGCACACATTAGGTTTTCATGGGCGTTTTAATTACATGGAGGGTGATAAAGGGTCTCCTCTTGAGTATCTTCAGGTAGGGCAAAGTTGTGGGTTGCTCCCTGTGCCTCTCACCTTGAGGGGTTTTAGGAAAAGTCCTTGAAAGTCAGCCAAGAGAGGGGCAGTAAGGATGTGCTTTACTCTGGAGAAGGGGGGAAATGTACAGGTAGTTGTTGACCTACGACTACAATGGAATATATTCTTTATTGGCCACGTGTGATTGGACACCAAAGGAATTTGTGTCTCGTGCATACGCTAATCAATTGAGCTCAAAATATCTGTTGCTAAGCAAGACAGTTAAGTGAATCTGGCTTCCGCAATTGACTTTGCTTGTCAGAAGGTCGCAAAAGGGGATCACATGATGTTGGGACACTGCAACTATCATAAATATGAACCAGTTTCCAAGCCTCCAAAATTTGATCATGTGACCAAGGGGATGCTACAATGGTCATAAGTGTGAAAAATGGTCATAAGCAGGGGTGGGATTCAGCTGGTTCGGGCAGGTTCAGGCGAACTGGATGTTAAATTTACATCTGGTTTGCCGAACCGGTAGTTGAACTGACCGGCTGGCCCCACCCACCCCACCTCTCCTCTCCCAGGAGTCTCCACATGGCCTGTTTTGGATGCAGGGTCCACAAAGAGGCTCTGGGAGGGCAAAAAATGGCCCTGCCGGAACTTCCAGAAGTGCGGAAATGGACCTGTTTCTGGCTTCCAGAGGGACTCTGGAGCGCATGTGAGGCCATTTTCGCCCTCCCAGAGGCCCGAGGGAAGCCTCTGGACTCTGGGGAAGGCGAAAAATGGCCCTCCCAGAAGTTCCAGAAGTCCAGAAATAGGCCTCTTTCCAGCTTCTGGAGGGCCTTCGGAGACTGGGGGAAGCCGTTTTTGCCCTCCCAGAGGCCCAAGGGAAGCCTCCAATCTCTGGAGAAGGTGAAAAACGGCCCTCCTGGAAGTTCCAGTAGGCCATGCCCACCATGGCCACGCCCACCTAGCAACCAGGCAGAGAACCAGTTGTTGGGATTTTTGAATCCCACCCCTGGTCATAAGTCACTTTTTTCCATGCCTTTGTAACTTTGAATGGTCACTAAATGAATGGTTGTAAGTTGTGGACTACCTGTACATTAAAAATGGGCTGTGTAAAGTTGAGCAATGGTGGCAGGGCAAATTCCTCAGCAATTAATTTGCGAGGGGACTTGCAGAGAAGTAGTGGCATTGCTCTGTGGCAGGAAATGCACCAAGGGACATAGTGGCTTAACCTTTTTGTTTTGGAGCCTTTTGTTTTGTCTGGTGTGATCGTGTGAATGCACAGCCGAGATTGGGGGCTTAGCTTTTTCCCCCTTTCACATGCCTGTATGCACATTCACTCAGCCGATGCAGATTGTACCTGTACCCCCTACTCTTGGAAGAGTGGGAACTTTTAACCTCAAAACTCCCTGTTTTTCTCCAAGAAGTCTTTGCACTTGGATGCACAAAACGTTTGTGTGCTTGTGTGTGTAACAGAACTATGAAACAATTGAAGGAAAGCAGGAGGGGCAGGAAAAATCCACCACCTTCCCCTTCTGCTAACGAAAAAGGATTCCACAGAACTGGATTAATGTGAATCCAGAAAAACTTTTATACTACAGTGTTGTGACTAGGAGGTTTGAGCCTGCTATGTCAGAAGACACAGGCTCGACTGATGCGGAAGATTTGGCATTGGGATTTGAGCCTGCTTTGATGAGAGATACAGACGTGAGCCAAGAGGAAGAGGAAGATAGGGCATTGGGGTTTGAACCTGCTTTGCTGGAAGTTTCGGAATCCTCATCCTCTCCAGGACCTTCCTCATTAGTTATACCTCAGGTGTCGGCAGATAATCAGGAGAACGTGCCGGAGTCCTTGGATGAAGAATGTTGGTTTGATGCAAGGAACAGACGTAAGCAGAAACGTCAAGCACAAACTGGAAGGAGACGTCGAATCAGGGACTGAGGAAAGAGACTGACACGCCCCTCAGGGAATATAAGGAGGCATGTTAGCTTTGAATCCCCGTTCGGGTCAAACTTGTTAATTTGCGTCTGCAGTTTGGACAAAGTATTCTATTTGCCGTTCGTCTCTGATTTATAGTTCTGCTCGTTATCAGAATTTGCAGACAGCTTCTGGGAAAACTGCCAACGACGAATTCAGCCAAAGGAAAGTTAACTCTGTTGTTCCTGATATTGTCTGTTTGTGTTTTTTCCTTTGGACATTTGGACTCTCACCTCGTGGCCACAGGTGAGACAGAACACTACAGTATTGTTTTTAGATTGGGGGCGGATTGAGATTGGTGTAGATGACCCAAATTTCCCTGGTATTAGTAAACATCCCTTGCCAGAGCCCATTGGACTCCCCCCCCCCCGACCCCCCAACCCCCCCCCCCCCCCCGCCTCCCCCCTCCCCCCCACCCATTTCCTTTCCCCTGTCCCATGCATGGAATTTGCTCCCCCTCCTGCATCTCACCCTCTGAAGGAGCCACGTTCAGATTTGGAGGTACCTGGGACAGGACTGTGAGATACAATATAATAAGTTGTAATTTTCCATAATGTAGACTAGCATATAGCTTATGAATGATATACAATTTATATAAGGTTTATTCTTTGTTCAAATTACCTAGCGTTAGTATTTTAAAGTATAGCCACACTAATACATATCCAAGGCACAGCCATATTTGCCCAATGAATGAACCCTGACAGGCAATGACGTACACAGCTTCTGGCTTGAAATATGTACCAGGTACCACATTGT